ATGCAATTTGTGTCCTGTATCTCACAAAGCTATATGATTTTGTTTTTATTGTGGCTAACACGGCTAGAAATGATATAACTCTCTGTTTTGTTATCATGCTCTAGATAAGGGTTTTAATGATTAACTGAAAGGAGTAGATGACATACATGTTGCTGTTTTCCAAATCTGTTTTATGTATGCAAAATATTATTCATTGCTTAAGAAAACAATATACAGGTCACTTAAAGTGTTTTGTACTGTAATCACGGGGAATTGGTTCAACTCCACTAAAACTGATGATTGTCCATCCTGTATACCAAATATTTGTTAGAAAATTGTGAGCTTATTTTGCAAAAATGAAATGGCTGAAACTAGCTAAAACAAAGGACATCTGCATTCCTAATTGCTTACTGAACTACATGGACCAACTGGAGGGATTCCAGTGGAAGCTAAATGGAATGCTCTGGACTGCAAAATATAAATCTCTTTCTTTTTATCTACTATTAGAATTCACAGAAACATTAAATGGTTTGAATTGGGAGAGACTTTAAAGACCATCTAGTTCATATAGATTCAACATTTTCCACTAGACCAGGTTGCTCAGACCTTCATTCAACACTTCTAGGGATGGGGCATCTACAGCTTGTATGGGCAACCTGTTCCAGTGCCTCACCACCCCCACAGCAAAGAATTTCTTCATAATACCTAACTTAAACCTGCCCTCCTTCAGCTTAAAGCCACTGCCCCTTTTCCTATCACTACACACCCTTGTAAATAGTTCCTTTTCAGCTTTACTATAGGAAATACTCTGTCTTCAGCTTTCATATAGGCCCCTCTAGGTACCGGAAGGCTGCAGTAATGTCACCCTGGAGCCTCTTCTGGTTCTCCAAACAGAACAAACCCAACTCTCTCAGCCTTTCTTCACAGAAGAGGTGCTCTGGCCCTCTCTGATCGTCTTTCTGTCCTTCTTTGGACTGGCTTGAAAAGGTATGAGCTTTCTTATGCTGGGGGCCCCAGATCTGGATGTAGAACCCCATGAAAACATGATCTGGTGGACATACTTTTTTGATGCAGACCGGGGTGTGATTAGCTTTTTGAGACTGGTTCATATTCAGTTTTTCATCCAGGAAGTAATTGAGTTGGATAGGAATAATAAAATGATACATACTTATTTATCTGACTGACAGTGACAAGTAGCACTTAACCTGTACATGTGCTGTAAGTGTCTTCCAAAAAACCACATTTTCAGGACTTGGTTAACATGAATGTAGCTTTTTGTACTTTGTCAATCCCTCTCTCTTCTATTACTCTTCACATATTAAAATCCACGTCAAACAACAGAATGTTATGTTTGGGTCCATTTGAGGAAACGGTTGTAATGAATATTGATGTCTTCATGCACTTCACATAAAAATGGAATTTTAAAAGCATTCAGAGAAGTTAAAAGGGCACATTTAACTGACTTATAGTGAGAATTGTGGTCCTAAATGTGAGTATTGCACAAAGTCCCCTAGGAAGTAAACTGAAGTGTAGTGGCATGTGTGTGCCAGTGATTTCTGTTCATACAAGCACTTGTAAATTTTGAATTCAACCACTGGTGATGTATGCTATTAACTTGCTATGAGTCTGCAGATACATATGTACTAACTTCTCAAATAACAGATGGCAGTTACCACTGCCTTAATTAGATGAAAATGCTACAAATCACATTCACACTTGAGAATGTGTCTGTGCTATCTATTGTGCTAATAAAAATAATTGACTTAAGTGAGTTAAATTCATTCAAAATATCCATAGGTGTATGGGTATAAGCAAAAGTCCAAGCAACAGAACATTTACGTATTGCTCAAAGTACTACACAGAGAACAAAGACCAATTTATCAAAGAAATTCCTCTTTCAAAATAGGCTGTCAGGTTTCTCAAGTGCTTCAGGAAAGCACCCTTCAATCAATAACCTTGAATGAGGATTTCAGAGCATTTTACATCACCTCTGCCAAAAAGGTTTGACATTGCAGTTTACCATAGGAATACTTTTATTGTTGTTGTTGTTGTTGCCGTTGGGCATTTTGTTTGGTTTTGGTTTTGTCTGGGGTTTTCTTGTTTGCTTATTTGTTGGGTTTGTATGGTTTTGGTTTTTTTGTCCACTCCTGTTCTCATGTTTACTTTATTCCTATGGCAGAATCCTGAACATGGCTTTTTCAAATACATCCATAACCAAATGAAAACAAAGGCTACTTTGATACTACATGGGGGGGGGGGGGGGGGGGGGGGGGGGGGGGGGGGGGGGGGGGGACGACACAGGTAACAGACAATGCAGAGAAGACAGAGTTACTGAATGCCTTCTTTGCATCAGTCTTCACTGACAATACCAGCCCTCAGGCATCTCTGATCCAGGAGATCAGGGTAAAGGAATCCTCCCTTGGCCAAGGAGGATTGTGTTGGAGAACACCTAGGCAAATTCGACATGCACAAGTCCATATGCTCTGTCAGGATGCATCCATGAGTGCCAAGAGAGCTGATGGAAACCATAGAATCTGCTCATGATCACCTTTGAAAGGTCAGGGCAATCAGGAAAGGTGCCTGAGGATGGGAAGAAAGCAAGTATCATCCCAATCTGCAAAAAGGGTAAGAAGGAGGACTAAGGGAACTACTGGCCAGTCAGCCTTACCTCAGTCCCTGGGAAAGATAGAGCTACTCCTTCTGGAAGCCATCTCTAGTCACATGTATGACAAGAAGGTGATCAGGAATAGTCATCATGGATTCACTAAAGGTAAATCATGCTTGATCAACCTGATTGCCTCCTACAATGAAATAACTACCTGGATGGACGAGGAGAGAGCAGTGAATATTTTCTAACTCAACTTCAGCAAGTCTTTCAGGACTGTCTCTCACAACATCCTCAAAGGCAAACTCAGGAAGTGTGGACTGGATGAGTGGACTGTAATAGGAAACTTGCAAGCTCAATCCTTGAGTCACAGATAGTTTATTTTTTAGTTTCTTTTTTTTTTTTCTTTTTTAAAAAAAAAAAAACAAAACATTTATATTTCACTGGTTGTCTTAAGACAATTATGTCCACTTGAAATGAAACAGAAGTGACCTCTCGGTCACTGCCTGGAAAATATGATTCATAGTGAGAGGAACCCCTCTACTGGTGGAAGTACAGAACACCAAACATGTAAGTACTGTTTAGCAAAATAGAGTTATCCCAGGCTGGTCTCAGTCATGGGAGAGAGACGGCACTTTCAGGGAGCAATTCATCTCCCTTTGAAGAAAACATCTAACAAAAATAAGTTTTCATGTCCTCTTATTCACACTGACTATAGATAAAATAGATGTTTACAGCCTAGAGTCTAAAGCAAGTATGAAAAGTACAATCTAAAAGGTCTATTGTTACACAAAAAGCTCACATCTCACCCCCTAACCTGTCTGCAAAAGGAGCACTTAGCGTGGTATAGCATAGTTGGCTGATATTGAATTTCAAGTATGTCATTGATATTCATTAGTTTCTATCAAGAAGGTTACGAAATGGATTCGTGTGGATATATTGAATAGATTTTATTTTGATCATGAACTTCTACATATTTACATTGAAAAATCAATGTAAATTTTAAGGCCACCATGGTTGCTGTTGCTTCTAAGAATTTGAACATGTGATTCCCATGCTGCCACACTTCTCAATTTGACAGTTTCTTCCTTTTTTGCTAAGGTATTTTGTCATGCATTTGTGCCTCTGGGTGAATTCTTAAAATAGTAAATAGGAATTTTGCTCTTTTAGTCACTTAGCTTTACCAAATTCCTTTTCATCTTTTCTCCTGTTTCCCCCCATCTCTGTCTTCCTCTATTTATTTAATTTACATGAATGTAAGTATGATTGCAGAACATTCTTTAACAAGGATGCCTTTCTTGTTTTAGATTTGAAGACTTGACCTTGTGTTTCCTGTTAAGTCCTATACACAAATGGCCATGTTGCATGCTTAGTTCCTAGGAGAATAAAGCTCTACAGAACTGCCAAGACTGTGCCATTTTGAGGTAAGTATGGATATTGTGAGAGGTTAACTGAAAAACACCAATAATTTTAACAAATTCCAGAGCCTAAAGACAGAAACTATTGAATGTTACAAAACCACGCTTCTCCTCAAAATTGCTGAAGTAGCATTTCTTTCTTGAGTTACAAAGGTATTATATAATAAAAAGGCAAAAGGTATTTTGAAAATTAAGGAAAATTATGTTTCTGGTTTTGGTTTAAATGATAATTTGCCTGTTTGCAACTGTCTGTATACTTTCATCAAGAGGCAAAGCAAATGCTCTTTTGCTCTGAAAGAGCATGATAGAGAAAGTAACCACCTGGAAAATTAGAAAGTGTAAGAACACGTGAACTAACGTGATGTAAAAAAATTTGGGGTCAAATAAGCTGTATTCCCATAAACATGGCCAAGACCAAGTTGCCCTAAAAATAACTGAAAGGGCTGTAGGGTAAAATTTTCCAAAGTATTCACATAATTTAGAGTGCCAATCCTGTTTCCAAGTTAATGTTTCCTTAGAAAGAATACTATCTTTTAAAAGGAAATTATTTTTTTCTCTTACTCACCTACAAATGTTATAGAAATAGAATTTACCATTCTAAATCTGAAGAGTCAGTTTGATAATTTCTCCTCATTGTCTAAGCGCTTGTAATGCAAAGACTTTGCCCCAGAACTCCATATCCCAAAAAGAAAGATCGATGTATTCCTCATACCAGTTTTTTCTACTACATTTCATTACAAGAAGGTACTAATGAATGTAATCACAAAACAGTCACACACTGGTATATAAGGAAAAAGAATTGAGAAAGAAATTAAAACCAGGTTAATAAAACAGAACTCTAAAGCTGACATGATAGAACACTAAAAGTAACCAATTTGAGTAACAAGATGACTCAAAACCTCTTTAATAAAACAGATATAAGGAGATGAAACAATATAAGGTTATTATTACAAAACACAGTGTTCAGTGAGATGTTTTTATAAATAAATTCTTCTTACCTGTTATAGTTGCTTTGTTAATAGATGCTTGATTACACATTGGTGATCGTCTATTGAAAAGAAAATAAAAAAGGTCTAAGCCTGATAAACTCACAGATGACTAAATCCTTGAATAATGTAATAGAAAATACATTACCTTGGAAAATTATTTTGGAATGGACTACACTGGCATTGCCAAAGTTCATTTACAGCAGATATTTCTTTCTGGTGTAGAAGAGAAGTCCTAACTGACCTCCCTGAAACCTCTCTGCAGACTGGGGACTCCAAGACAGGAATATTTTAGGAACTTAGAAGTTTATTAAAAGCCTGCCTAATCATACATAAAGCTTATACCTAGTTTAAAATTTATATACATATTTAGCATTATTCTAACAACTCTTGCACTTCTCATGTTCTTCGACTTGAAACGTTTACTTTTTTTTTACTCTATTATTTTTCATGTACATTTCACACATTATTTTGCATTTACCTTTCACAATAAGCTTTCAGGAAAACAGTTCAGTGGGCTGTTTTGCCCACTGAAGAATGCTATAAGATACTGGACTGACCCAGATGCAGTGAGTTATGGATGATTGAAAGCAGGGAACACGTAAGATCTGCATATTCCAATGAAGAGACATGGAAATATCTTTTAGTAGCATTGCATATGCGATGGTAGGCCACTGTCTTTGGAATACTAACGATTTCTAAGCTCTAGAGATGCACATTATGGGTGAGGGAAATGACTGCATTACAAAATTTGCCCATGTAGATAACATTAGCGTTCACTGTGACACTGTAACACAATTGGAGAAAGATCATATTTATAATGTCTCATTTATAATTATGAACTACTCTGCATGAGTGGGATGTCACTATCTTGGATGAGTTAGGCAGAGTTCTAGGTTCAGATCACACAAGTAGCTCTCACTGACTGCAGCTGTTTGCTCACTCGGGATCATTTGCAAGACTCAGATTGTGCCTGAATCATCTTTGGATGATCTTTGATATATGACCAACTTACTGAAAATCATATAAGTTGCACAAAACTACCCCAAGTTTATGTGAGGACAGCAATGCAACATCAATCAGAAGGCAAGGGGCTGTTTTCTCAGCTATCAAGAATAACATCCTCAAGGGATTAATAAGCTAATTACTCATGCATGTTTTATACAGGTTCAGTGCCACAGGCTGAAATCTGTAACATCTAATCGTCATTTTTAGTTTACATTAAAAAGTATCACTGCAAAAATTTCAGTGGCCAAAAAATGACACTCACTTGTTGGGTGCCCGATCTTGTAAATTGGTTAATGCAGCAAAGTTATTCCGTACAGTACGCAGGCTGGCCAGCACCTGGAACACATAAAGTGGTTTCAGTATAAATGTCTGCGCAAGTGAGACTGATTTATCTCTCCTCCACTGTGCTGAAAAAAGAAAAAGAAAGGGCATTGCAAAATAATTGTAAAAGGTTTCCAGGGTTGGTTAGTCTGCAGCCTTTGATCTTTATTCAACAATAACATGTCTGTAATAGGAGGGCATAGTTTATTTCTTTTTTTTTCCCACATAAAAAACTCATTATTTGTTTAAATGCAAGCTTACTTGAGGAGGAGGAAAGTTTTTCACAGAATACTACTTATTTCCTTAAAATTACCATAAAAGTATTTGAGTTTGGATAATATTAGCCCTTTCAAGCCTAATACCTCCTACATAAGAAATAATTACAGAATCTTCCATTTGCAGTTCAGTCCCCACAAACTCCAAAGGACAAAAGGAATAAGATTTTCTAGACTGCCAAGAAAAGTAAGTGCATCTCCTTTAAGATACATAATTGATTTGGGGACTTAGTGCAGAAGATCAGAAAAAGAGGAGGTATCACCTCAGATGGGGGAAAATGTCTGCAGGTTCTTACAAATTTTACACATTGGGAAAAGAAAAACTACTTCCTTTCTGGACTTAATTTCATGCAAGACATCATATATAGTAGATGCAGAAGAGGAGTGTCTTGTTATAAGTAGCACAGACATTCTCTTCTGAAGGCATCTGGATAAATGCAATAAGTTTTGTACCACATAAGCATAATAAGATGAACCTCTCTGACAAGGAAGAGCTAGTTCAGTTGACGTCAGATAGGAACCATGAGTTCTTTGGAACCAGACTGGAACTGGGAGGAAGCAGACACACTAATCACTGGTGTGTCTGCTGAAGTTATCCTTCATTTTTTCCCAGCCCAAACTGGGCTGGTTTTCTAGTGATCTCAGCAGAGGCATAATGAAAGCAGGAATGGGAATTTGGGTTTTAGAGGTCTGATTTGAGGAGGACACAACCCTCTTTTCATAGCACCTTAAATTTATACAGGGGATAGGAAGGGGATGGGAGACTGAAAAGAATAAACTAATGAAAACTTGTAACAGAAAATATTCAGAAGTTAATAATAACTGGCATTGTTCAAGCTATTGTAAGTAATTACCAAATGAGATAGATAATAAAAATATATTTGTCTAACTAGACAGCATTAATTTAATTACATTTTTCTTTCCAAAGATCAGGAGGCACACTTACATATTTTACATTCAGCAAAGAATAAAAATAATAAAATATAATTTAAAAAAATCTGCTATCAGATTTGCATGCCCAGGGAACAGTGACACCAAAAAATACTGTATTTAGATGTTTCATGTAGACAGATGGAAATCAGGCATGAACTGAGCAGCTGAAAGATGATCTTGGAGTTCAGAAATCCAAAAATGAATACTTCAAATACAGTGAAAAACTGCTGAAGCATGAAAATATTGTAAAAGGAAAGTATGAGTTGAAGGTGGAAGGAAAAGGAAAGCATAAACAGAAAAGAAGTTTGGCCTATTAAGATAAGATTCACATTTTAATGACGGAAGTCCATTTTTACTTCTCTTTTGTCAATCTGCCTGGGTTCAGTTTACATGTGTCAGGATGCTGAGATGGTTTGCGTGTCCTAGTATTTTCAGAGAAAGGTATCTATGTGGCTTCCAGAGCTGTTCCAGGGCATGAAAAAAACCCCGTAGTCAGTTTTCCTGGTTTCAAGCTCCTACTCAATAAACCCTGTTACACTCAAATTGGCTGCATATGCAGGTGCACTGAGAATTGGAAGCCCATAATTAAGGTAATGGAGAGACTCCTCAGAGAGTGACCTCAGGTCACTCATGCTTGTCAGATCTGCCTGTTCTGAGTGGCAATGAATGGCTCTGAGCCTGCTGCACAGAGCAGTTTCAGACAGGTTAGTAGGCTAGATACGCTGTCATGTGAAAACATGAAGACAGCCGAGGTATGTTTTGGATCTGAAATAACAGGACATTAAACAGCTGAGATGCTGAGGAAAGAAGTGTGCAGAGCTGCAAGGTTGCTCAAGGCCAGTTATGAGAGGAGGCTAATGAGGCTTGCTGGACCCATGCTTGAGTCCCAGATAGGCTGCAAGGGTGTTTCTCTATGTGCTCACCACTATGCACATAACCAGAATTTTCTGGTGTCTGAAATAATATGAATCTGTCTTTTTCAGAAAGCAGAGTCTTGACTGTTGTTTTGTATGTCCTCTTTATTCTTCAGGTCCAGGGATGAAACGTCCAGCACCTGCCCACCATCCTAGATGCTTTGGCATTAATGGAGCACAAGTCTTACAAGGAAAGGCTGAGGGAGCTGGGGTTGTTTGGAGAAAAGGAGGCTGAGGGGGACTTCATCACTCTCTGCAACTATCTGAAAGGAGTCAGGTGCAGGTCAGTCTTTTCTCCCAGGTCACAAGTGATAGAACAAGATCAGAGACTCACAAAATTAATTAGGTTGGAAAAGACCTCTGAGATCACCGAGTATAACCTTTGACTGATCACCACTTTGTCAACTAGATCATGGAACTAAATGCCATGTCCAGTCTTTTCTTAAACACCTGCAAGGACAGTGACTGCACCACTTCCCTGAGCAGTCCATTCCAATGTCTAATCACCCTCTGAAGAAAATCTTCCGAATGTCCAACCTAAGCCTCCCCTGGTGCAGCCTAAGACTGTGTCCTGTCATCCATCACTAGTACAGAGGGAGAAGAGGCCAACACCCCCAGCCACAAGCTCCTTTCACGTAGTTGTAGAGATTGATGAGGTCACCCCTGAGCCTCCTCTTCTCCAGCATAAATAACCCAGCTCCCTCAACCTCTCCTCACAGGACTTGTGCTCCAGACCCTTCACCAGCTCTCTTGCCCTTCTCTGGACCTCCTCCTTCCGGTATTGAATGGTCCAGAACTGGACACAGTACTCAAGGTGTGGCCTCACCAGTTCCAGTACAGGGGGAAAATCAGGATGCCACTGGCTTTCTTGGCTACCTGGGCACACTACTGGCTCATGTTTACCAGCACCCCCAGGTCCTTTTTTGTTTTACTTTCCAGCCTTTCTGCCCCCAGCTTGCAGTGCTGCCTGGGGTTGTTGTGAACCAAGTGTAGAACCCGGCACTTGGCCTTGCTGAATTTCATCCCTTTGGCCTCAGTCCACTGTTCCAGCTTGTCCAGATCCCTCTGCAGAGTCTTCCTGCCCTCCAGCAGATGAACACTCCCACCCAAATTGGTGTCATCTAGGGGTAGACTTGATCCCTTTGCCCAAATCATCAGTAAGATATTGAATAGAACTGGGCCCAACACTGATCCCTGGGGGACACCACTAGTGACCAGCTGCAAACTGGATGTAACTCCATTCACCATCACTCTCTGGGCCCAGCCACCCAAACAGTCCTTAACCCAGGGAAGAGTGCACCTGTCCAAGCCATGTGCTGCCAGCTTTTCCAGGAGAATGCTGCTGGGTGTCAAAGGCTTTGCTGAAATCCAGGTAGACAACATCCACAGCCTTTCCCTCCATCCACTAGGTGGGTCACTTGCTCATCAAAGGAGATCAAGTTGGTCAGGCAGGACCTGCCTTTCCTAAACCCTTCCAGCTGGGTCTGATCTCCTAGTTTTCCTGTACATGCCACGTGATGGCACTCAATGATCTATTCCATAACCTTGCCAGATACCAAGGTCAGGATGACAAGCCGGTAGTTCCCTGGATCCTCCTTCCAACCTTCTTTTGGATGGCCATCACACTGATCAGCCTCCACTCATCTGGGACCTCCCTGGTCAGCCAGGACTGATGATAAATGATGGAGAGGGGCTTGACAAGCTGTTCTGACTGCTCCCTCATCACTATGATGGATCCCATTTGATCCCACTTGTGAGTGTATAAGTGGCACAGCAGGTCACTAACTGTTTCTTCCTGGATTACTGGGGGTCTACTGTGCTCCCTGTCCCTGTCCACCTGCTCAGGGGGCTGGTTGCCCTGAGGATCACTTGAAGGTGATACCATGCCCTGAGGATACCATTGAAGAATGAGGCAAAGGTGTCACTTAAGTACCTCACCTTTGGTGATGATATTCCCCACCACATACTAGAGGTTTTCCTTGACCCTCCTTTTGTTATTGATGAAAGCACTTTTATTATCCTTTGCAGAAGTGGCCAGCTTTTGCCTTTCTAATTTTCTTTCTAGACAAGCTAATGACATCCTTCAGTACTTCCTGAGCTGCCTGTCCGTTTTTCCAAAGATGAGACATCTTCTTTTTTTCCTTGAGTTCCTGCAAAATCTCCCTGCTCAGACAAGGCCAATCATCTTCCTGACGACTTGTCTTTTGGGAAAACGGGCAGTCTGCTTCTGTGCCTTTAAGGATTATTTCTTAAAGTATGTCCAATCTTCCTGGGCCCCTTTGTTTTTAAGGGCTGATTCTGAAGGAACTCTGTGAACCAGTGTCCAGGGTAGAGGTTTTGTTGACATCCCTCCTTTATTCACTGAAAACTCTATTATATTGTGGTCACTGTACCCTCTGACCACCCCATCTCCCACTAGCCCTTCTCTGTAAACAGCAAGTCTAGCAAGGCATCACCCTTGGTAGGCTCACTTACCAGCTGCAACAAGAATTTATCTTCCACACACTCCAGGAACCTCCTAGACTGCCTCTTTTATGCGTGTTGAGTTCCCAGCAGACAGGTTGAAGTCTCCCATGACTGGGATGAAACAGCTTCAAGTTCCATCAAAGGAAGTTTAGATTGGATATTATGAAAAATTTATTCACTGAAAGGTGGATAACTGAATGGTCTCCATTGGAACAGGCTGCCCAGGGAAGTGGTGGAATCACCATCCTTGGAAACATTCAAAAAACATGTAGATGTGGTGCTAGGGGACATGGCTTAGTGGTGGACATGGTTTTAGGTTCATGGTTGGACTTGATGATCTTGGACATCCTTTCCTACACAAACAATTCTATGATTCTATGATTATAAAAGCATATACTTTGACAGTTTCTGCAAGTGCAAGCCATACTCACATACATTGCAATCAATGTATAAGTGAAAATAAAAAGGCTGGTCATTGGCTACAATAGATGTAAACAACTTGATTTCTTGTATAACGGTATTAATAAGTGTATTATATTAGAAGTGCATAAAATAATATTTCAATTTTCCACTATCATTTTCTTTAAGTGACAGTTTAATCTGCCCACAGAGGTTCTACTTGTGATTAGTATTTCTAGAGTTAGATTTGTGAGCATAAAAGCAATCCATCATATGCAAACTGCTTTAGGCTTAATCTCCAAGTAAATACTAATGTTTTCAAAGTCAAGTTATATATAAATAGTTGCAAACGGATTTTAAATATTGAACTTTTTTTTTGGTAATTAAAAACCTACAGAGTTTTCCTTAAGTTTCAAATCCCTCAAATTATTTTGTAAAGTAAAATTCTATGAATAATTAAATTACAGCAGTTGCTGTATATTACAATATAGGAAATGCAACTGATAATATCCTTGTGATAGATTTTTTTTTTTAATTTTAGCTTAAAAAATTCCCTTCTAGTAAATATAGTAAATTATGACATCCTGGGACCAGCTTCTATGTGAGGGACACAGTATGCCACCCTGCCTCCATATAAAAAATGCAGCTGCACTACCATTGGGATTTGCTGAATAGAAACTGAAATGCTAAACTAGGTTTACTACCACCAGGTGGCTCATGATCAAATGAAATAAGCTTCCTGATCAAGTGAAGGAAATACAGATGGTTTGAAATAACTCAAACGTGCTCCTCACACTGTGATGCACACAAAAAATGTATTTACATGTTAAAATATTGCTTTAGGAAGACATTAAAATGGTAGTTTGTATGTGTGGACATTGTACTGGGAGATGTCATCCAATTTCTGAAATCCTGAGTGAGGTCCTAACACTGCTAATGTAACTCAGAGGGATGGGCTCAGTGCTTCACTGTGGACAAAGTCCATCAGCAGGCCCCACTTGGAGATGAGATTTTGCATATTCTATAATTTTTAGACAAGGGTTATGTCCTAAGAATCTAATCAGATGTCACTTTCCCTCTATTAGGCACACTCTCTCAACTGCATCTCAGTTTCTCCTGTGTCAGGGAATGTGACACAATCATTCACCCTGTGAGTGCTTTTCTCCTGTTCCACACAAATAAAACCAGGTTGACTTAAACGACTGCTAACAGGGGTTTGCATTGAAAAAGCTCTCAATTAATCAGTTAAAGTACCTTGGTGCAAGTAGCCATAGCATTCAACTGCTTTTGCTCTATTTGCTGAAGTCCATCCATTAATGTGAACAAGAATACAAAACTGCCCTTAAAAAAAGGGTGTTTTTTCCCAAGAAAAGGATATCCATAAATGGAGTGTACTATTTGCTGTTTTCTAGTGAAACTAGAACCTAGTAATTTTTTTTGTAAAAAAAATCAGATCACGATGAACAGGAACAATAGTAAATATTACTGGTTTGCTTGAGCATCAAAAAATTTATATATTCTTCTGTACTTAAGAGTTAGGATTTCTGTTTCCTGAGGAAATAAAACCAGAAGTGTGTTGACTTTTTTTTTCTGTAATTTCTTCTATTCCATTATTGTTGAAGTATATTTAATATTTGAGAGGCTTCAGAGTATTTTTATAAAATGCACTTGCTTATCTTTTCTCTGCTAATAAAAGATGGTGGTATTATTCATATTAAGAACTTGCTTCCAGTTTTATAAACACTGTATCTGTTTACAATATAATTAAATATCTAATAAACTATTACATAAATATTCTTTTAACAGCTTATCATTAGACCAGAGCAACCTCCATACTGAGACTAACGTTGCACACTTCTTATCTGAGACTGCTGTGTGACTCAACTTTTCCCATTCACCTTCAATCAATATGACTTTGTAATTACACTGAATTGACTTTCATTCCTATCTATTTCAGAGTAAAACCTATCATTATGAATTCAAGGAATATTAACTTTTCATACATGATAAGACAGCTCTATTGTGAAAAATTGTGAAATCTTTATCTGAATTGTAAAGAATTTTGAGATGATACTTTATAAAACAGAATGTGAATAGAAAAACCAAACACATGGTTTTGCAAAGGAACGTAAGTATTCTGAGTAAAACTTCTCATATCTAGAAATCACATATTTAATGCATAAAATTTGTTCAAATGAAGAAATTGTAATTATAAAAAGTAATACAATAACGGAAAGCAGAGATCTGTCTTCATTACGACTGCCTGTTACAGTATTTGAAAAGAGATCAAAGCTGTTTATTGTGCTGTTGTACTTCAACTTTTCAGATAATCAAAAACTATTAAGAAAGAGAGGTGCAGATAACGAGAGTAAGAAGTTTATGACTTTCTGTTTAGACATTTTTTCTCATTTCAAGCAAACATATCTTATACAATAATAGTGATAAAAAACAACTAGTTTGGCCATTTAGTCTTTAAATTACAAGATCATGTGAGAAATATGGCAAAATTGTTCCTACCTGAGCAAACGGTGTCACAATCAAGTCATCTCCATGTCTGAAAAAATGAGCAGAGTTGTGAGTTAGGTATTACCAAAAATTTATCTTGCTGCTTTAACAGGAAGAAAACCAGCTCTTAAAATGCACTGTCAGTAACTCCAGCTTTATTCTTCTGCAATTACACAGTACTATTGCTTTACACATTCTATGAAAAGCAAATGTGAACTTAGTTATTGCCCAGCTGCCTGACATGTCTATGGGATGGCTGACAGACCAGCCAGTTTCTACACTGAAGGTTGGGCAGGTGACTGACCACCCAGGACCATTCTTGAGAGATGGAGGTGAAAGTTCCAAAAATTACTCCACTTACCAGCAGGGCTTGTGAGCACTGGATGGGTGACTAACAGCAGATGGCTGGGCAGTGCATCGCAGATGAATAAAAACCTAGTAAAACTTTCAAACTGATTCAGACTTCTGTAGCTATAGGGGGTGTGACCAAGTGTGTGCTGTTGCTGTGGCAACCTCACCTATACCAGGGGTGACGTCTGGGCAAGGTGCCAGGATGACGCACTGTAGGGAAAAAGGGAGAAAGAGAAAGCGGGGTTCCTTTTCTTCAGCACCAAAACCTGCCACTTGAAATGGTTTCAAAAAGATATGGACTTCTAAATACAACTAGACTGAAGGGCTTAAGAGTAGCATCTGTAGCATTGAGGATATAGAGTCACAACACGGGGACAGGGAAAACTTGCAGGTTTCAGTCATGTATATGACAGGGTATATGACAGGAATTGAGGTAAAAATAAATTTTCCAAAGACAAAAATCCAATATGACTCTGGTTTTAATTTTCCTTTACTTTTCTGTGGTGAATTTATCATGATAAATTATAAGTTGCAGCTTCCAGCAGAAACTACCATTGCTTAGGTGCCATTTTAATATTATTTAAGTTTAAGCATAAAATATGAGTATTTAACAATGGATTTCAAGTCCTTGAAAAGCTAATTAAAAAAAGGCTGATAAAATGAGAAATATGATTTGTGTTTGAGATGCCACATCATTCTTATAATTTATATACTGACCACAAGACAAAAATAGTTTGCAAGTATTGCAAAAACCCAATAAAAACCAGTATGTGCAATCTGTACCATTGCATAATCAGTCTGTAAGAACAAAACTTCCCAAAATTAAAATTTATCAGAATACTTAATATCTGTGTAACCATTTTTATTTACATCTCTTTTATTCCTTTTGTAATACAGGAATGGATTTTTATGGACCCTGTGGAAGAAGTCTGCAGTTTTAACAGTCTTTGCAGGAGTGGTTAGAATTGGGTGTTGCTTCAGGTGAAACCACAGTCCCAGACTGGCTGGAAAGCATCTAAGCCAAAACTGAAACATGTCACCATGGGAGGAATGCTCAGTGGCTTTAATAACTCAATGAAGCCAAATCCAGTAGGGTATTTTAGACAACATGAATCAACCCAGGGCATTAACAGGGGAATTAATGAGCAGCTGCATTAATACCTCTTTATGTTTTCATTGTGTCATGAAAACATCAGCAAATGTCCTAGACTGTCATTTTCGATTAGGATTGCTTAATGAATTACACAAAGGTTTTAGCAGAATATAAGCCAAATTCCTCTCTTCTTTTTCTCTCCTGTTCTCCACTGACTATACTACCTCACTTCCAGCAAAATTAAACTCTTTGTCTTCAAGTTCTTTGAAATGGCATTATCTGATATGTGACACGTGGCTTAGTTGTTTCTCAGTAAAGTCTGTTAATTTCTTAACTTTTATAAAGAATATTTTTACTCTTTGCATATAGCCACTCCATTTTCGCTTCTGTGAGGCACAGCTCAAAACACAAACCCAATTTTTACTGATCTAGTCTATTTCCCACATTTGGAAATTATAAAGGGGTAGCATTCTGAAGATGAAAGTGTTTACAGGTAGCAGCAGCACTGGACAAAGAACAAAAATATTGAAGGTTTTCTACCTGTAAATAAGCCAGATAGTGTAGAGATAGTTCTTTCTAGCATCTGTCAATGGCAAACACTCTTCTGAATGTCTAATACATGACACAAATACACAGACTACTCATTCATGCCTTAACGTCCTGCTACAATAGAGTTATTAAGTGTCAAAGTGCAGATTGGCAAAAAATAGGAAAATAAGATTGTCCTCCTTCTCAGTAACTCTGGTGGACTTCCTTATTAGCAATGGCATTTTCTTGTTTTTCATTTCTTGCCATTCAGTGTCCCTGTTTGCCAGCCCTTAAACTCTGAGGCACTTACAAAAGGCAACATGTACATGTTCCTGAGCTTTCTGCCCTGGAGGTTTTTGTTTTATTTTACATAACATGGCATGATCCCACTCCTCTCATTTTAAAAATTCATTCTACTTGAGCTCTTTCTGCATTTCGTTGGACAACACTGGATATCATACTGTAGCATCTTTTTTTTTAGAAGAGGCATTATTAAGTAACAATTTAACATACTGAAATCAAGCCAGAATTTAATTTTCACTTTTCAAATGCCCCTTGAGTCAAAAGCAACAATTCCAGAAATTATCATTATTTTTGATAAAAGTATGATACTGGAATTACAGATACCCACAGCTCTCACCAAATAGTGCACACACCAGACCCCCCTGAATTGAAAAGCAATTGTATAATGTGGTAATTTTTAATCTACATTGGGTTAGAAAATCTGGACAAAGTGAGTATTCAAAAATGGGGTAGACATGTCTAAAGAAGCTGTTACTTCTCTACAGAAGAGCAAGAATGTATGATTCAAAATGCCACTGATCCGCAGTGTACTGCAGTGTAGTAAACACTATAATGTATGATTATCCTCATACAGATGGTATGAAGCTGATAGGGGATTCTTTCTGGATTCTGGGCCTGACAATGCCACACATCTATATACACCAGCAGCAAGAGGAAGTGTAAATCCTGCAATATGTCACAAGCTTCTAAATATAAACAGCGATGTTAGCCTTTAAGGTTATAAGAAATTGTTCACACCAGTTGGACTCTGTTAACTAGAATGCCTGGCATACTTGTTCACATCTTCATTTTTCAAAGGAAAGACAGATTTGAAAGCAGAATATTGTTCACATAGCCCCAAAAGTTAAAATGCTTGATTCCCCACTACCAAAGAACACTGATAAAGCATACAACAGTCCATATGAGGTGAATCACTGTTACATAAAACACTGGCCAAACTTGCATTAGCAGACCAAAGATTCTATGCCACATTGCATGTTATTTACCACAGTGAAGTAATGAAGCCCAGCCTTCTGCACAGTTTCTGTCCTTTGCTTTCTAACGTTTCCTATATGACATACTAGAACTCACCTCATATAACCTATGCTGTTCCCCACCGTGGAGAAGAGATGAAAATACTATACTAAGTTAGAAGTTAGTTGAACATGTACAGCTGACTGTTGCCAAATACAAAGTACAAAAATTCTCCTTCCTTTCCTCAAGGCTGGCATCAATTTGTCTCTTCTATCCCAATTCTAGAACAGTAATCAACTTTGCCCTCACTAATAAGGAAGTTCCAGATGCATGCACGGACAGAGAGAGAAGCAGGTAGGAAGATCAACACAAAGGTAGACAGGGTGACCACATAACTTTTATTTTGTAATTAAGCTGGGATAATTTCATGTAAGATCTAATAAGAGTAGTAACCAGAGAGAAATTCTGCAGACCTGTCAGGATACAGTTAAGAAAGAAAGAGTGTTTTTTTTAATGTGGTCAGAAAAAACTCAAGATACCCATGAAGGAGAAGTGAGTCCCAGACACTACAGACCACAAGGAGTGTGAGTCTGCACTTGCCAGTGTGGAGCTTCATTAAGAAAGATCCTCAGGGTTTGCCTTTGTAAAGGCTATTAGTAAACATAGATTAAGAGACTTTCTGCATAAATGTAAAGAATACCAGCTGAGTGATCTTGAGGACAAATATTGAATTTGGGAGATAAACAAGATAAGAGTTCTGTCTCATTTAAATGGTGGGGGGGGGGGCAGTGCACCAGTTTGACACATAAAGTTCTCATGAACAAAATAAAGTTACTATAAATTCCTGGTTAATCTTGATAGAAATTTTACAGCATAAATTGTAATACTAGTAGAAAGAATCTTGATGCTTTGTACAGTTTAAAGTATGATCTTACTGGTTTGCCATAGTCCTCCATTTGAATGAAAAACTCACTTATCTCCCCAGGATAAATAATGGCTGAGGATGCCAGGCGGACTTTAAATCCAGCTGGCACCCTCTATGTTGGATCCTCTGGCTACAGACTTGGGACATAGACTACTTGAGAGAATAAAGCTGCCTACTGAGTTTGAAATGCCCAAGGGGATGGTGGCTGTTTGGAATCCTTGCATTATGCTCTGCACCAAGAACTGTGAGAGCAAGTTCATGTCACAAGAATTTATTCCATTTTTACAGAATTGTATTTGGGCATTTTTAATTTTATTTTTTTTTTATAGATGAAGCCAAATACACACACACAAAACATGAACTAGCTATGCTGAAATATTCACATTACTTAGATTCAGATTTTAGCAGCAATGAAAGCTGATTCTAGATTGCACCCTGATAGAGCAGTGGGGAAACATCATGTAATGGTACTAGTCATCAGAAGCCATGCTTTAAGGACAGTGAGCAGGAGGGGTTGCTGGCTGCTCCATGCAGCTTGAACTTCATTATAGTCTGCATTTGGAGAATCCAAATGGGCTGGATTTGTGGAATCAGAAATCAGAGTGTTTCAAGTCAGCATACTCTACAGGAATAATGCTGAACTCATGTCATTTCTATCTTTAAAGACTTCAAAAACAATTTTCTAGCTCTAATATGAGATAGCCTAGGCCTGGCTCCAAAAGCCAAGGCTGGATGGGCATAAGTGGCAGCTCTCAATATTGTGCCCACATTATGAGATGTGGTGGAAACTGGGTTACAGCTTTTCCCAGAAAGCCAGTGGCTTTTTAGTGAATTGTATTTCTTTGAAAGGCTAAGCTCTATTTGGGGGATGATCAGGCATTTAAGGCAGGGGCTA